TGCACTCATCTCCTACTGGATAGCAGCCTACTTTTTTGCTCCACCAATCAGTGACATAAAATACTACCTACTATTTGACCTATATATGGATACCACGAACACCTAACCAAGATGATCACCCTGATGATGGAAGCAGCAAGAATCTCTGAAACATTGGTAAACTTCTACCAAACTGCATACACAACAACCCAGAAGGCAGCCATCTTCATTTATATTATTATTAAAATTCTGTTTCCTCCTATAACAATGTACACAAATCTGCTCATAATGTTTGATCATGAATTAAAGTGTAATGGTGGCAAAAGGAATATGGCCTGTAATGAGAACTTAATTATTGCAAGCAAAATCATTGACATCATTATTTTCTTAATGTCATACATGTGCAAACATTGCACAAATGATGGAATTTCTCTGGTGCCTTTGCCATAACAACCAATAAAGAAGACTACTCTCATACCATCTGTCTCTCCATATTCACTAGCCTCATCTTCTCTGTGCCTGGATGTAACTGGAACAACCCTGGGATCACTGGATTTTAAGTCAGCTGTTGTCACATGCCGTGTCTGGTCGTCTGTACACTTAACATCTAATGTAAACTCAACACTGCAATCTGGACAAAAATCTGCACAGGTGCAGTCCTGAAACAAAATTAAAATACCAAATTTCACTTAATTATCTTTCTCACTATACTATTAAAATCTACGACCAAAACGCATCAGAGTGCCAAGACTGCCACACTTTGTCCATGACCAATTTTCTCAACAACCAGCACTGCCCTTTTCCCCATGTCAGCAAACACAATTGGTTTCTGTTTTACTGTATTCACCTGTATCTATGTAATACTTAATTTCCTTACTGTGACCAGACTAGTGATTTACCAGGATTAACAGAAATTTGAGGTCAGGTTGTGGGCTGCTTTGGTGCAGAGTAACACTATTGGAGGTTATGAGAATGTAAAGTGAAATGAAAAGACTAAACATGAAAGCATGCACACAAAGTTTTCAATACAATACATAATGTGAGCAAAGTATTCTAACTGCATTTTTAAATGTAGTAATAATCTGTAGCTATGTCATACCCTGGTATACTGGATTCTATCCACAACTTCGTCTGAGGTTAGGGGTATCAGGCCAATTCGATGTGCTAAAAATTCATCACTTAAAACAGTGGAGTTTGCCTCAAGCTGAACCCAATCTATTGCCATTGTTGGTGTTTCAGCAATAAATACTCTTCTCATGCTGTTCGCAACACTGAAAAAAAAAACACGCCAGTAGCTGAATTAAAACTAATTTAAAGAATGGTTCGGAAAACACAAAAAATAAATATAAGACTATATTACCTACCTCAATTCAGTATCTTCAATTTGAAATTTAACATTTTCTTCAGTGAGATCTGTTATATGAACAGACGGCTGATTTGCGTAAGGCATGGTTACCTGTTAAGTACACAACAGTTATCAATTCTAACAGGTTCTAAAGAGGTACTACTACTATTACTCGATTTATGGACTTAGATGATCATCGCAGAACACAATGTTTCGAAAACTGTCAGGACGACAGAAATGTCATTATATTCACAATCAAACATAAGAAACTGTAACGCGCAATACAAAAATTAAAAAGTAATTTAGGACGCATATAAAATTACCAAAAATTCGAAATGCTGCTTTTACAACCCTCACTCGACATACTATGTCAAACCAATGCTGATTCAGTACAGCCAACCGAATATTGGTGTATACAAATAGGACCCTGCCAGGTGGTGGGCCTTTGTGATGAACTTTCAGGTTCCATAAAGAAAGTGGGTTATTCTTTGACAAAGTTATTCAATGAATAACTTTTCTTTCTAACATGGATTATACTGATTACAGTCACATGGCACGTAACGCAAATTATCTTCCAATTGACACGAGTAGCACCATTTGATCACACCACCGTAATGACATGGTTCATATGTTCCAGCTGCTTTGTGATTGGTTAGTAGACTACGTGGCTTGTCAAAGAGAAGTGCTGGTAGTAGTAGTTCTTGTGAATCGTGCCAAGATGTCTCCACATTTGGAGTCAACTTTCCCTCAATGATATAAACCGGACTCATCTGAAGTTTTAACTTCTGTAGTCCAATAAATGCTTCTTCGTAATGCCCTCTTGTGTACTTGTATCCATAAAATGGCTTGCTTATATGATTCATTTTTCTATGGAACAGTATGCCATGTTTGTAAATGTAAAGATGACAAAAAACTAAAAAGATGTGGAGGCTGCAGTATGATTTTATACTGCAGTCTGGAACATCAAAAAGTACACTGGCTTTCACACAGGAGGCTGTGCAAATGTGTACGATCGATAAAGGGCAGCCGAGGTTTCCGAAATTTATTCCAAGAAACACGTACACGTGCTTCAACTGAAGAGTGGCGCAAAATGCGTTCAAACATAATGTTATTGGTACAGCTGAGGCTGGCTCGTAGACTGTCAGAAGGAGAGCAACAAATGTTTATGTTTCCTCGAGTGTGTGAAGTGTGTCAAGAAGCCAATCAAGAAAAACTGCAAGACTGCAAACGCTGCCTTTGTGTTTCCTATTGTTCCATATTACATCAAAAACAGGATTCTTTAAGACACAATGCATCATGTCATTGGTTAAAGTTGTGCTTTTGTATAGACAAACACTTTCTCCAAGCAAAAGACCCATACCCATTATTAAATGTTCCAGTTCGTGAGGAATATAAATCCCTTCCATGTGATATTGACTCATTCATATCAGTTCTAGTGACATTTACAAAGGATACTCTAAAGTGGAATCAAAGTATTGATGTTGCATTATTTTCTGAGCTTCTAACTTGCCCATTAACCTTGCTTTATGCACTAGAGAAACTCAGAATTGCATTAAAGAAAAAAGTAATGATACATGTGGTGGGCTCTGGAGCATTTGAGTGTACATTTCTGCAGAAATGGGAAATAATTTTGCATTGCGTGCCACAATTGTTATGTCTTGAAATAATATTCATTGGACCGGAAATTAAACAAGATTTGGAAACAACTCCTGTATTGTGTGTGAACTGCCAGGAAAAAGGTCGAGAATTAAGTTTTCATTTTCAGTCTGACAAACTGTATCATCAGTATGCCACCTCTGAGACTTTCTTAATGCCAGATGTTATTGTAGCTTATAACTGTGGCCTGCATGAATATGAAGGAACTGATGCTGATACATGGTTATTATCATTGACATTTTTGGTTAAATTTGTTCGGACTCCATTGATATTAACTTCATACACTTGTGATGAAGCTCATAAGGATGTTTCAAGAATTTTAAATTGCAGAAAAAATGGTCTGACAGTACATTTAAAATGTGTTAAGAACCCATTTGCCAGCAAACGCCCATATAGAGATTGGGGTAGTGAGGGTAATGGTGTTTTCTTTCAGAATAATTATATAACTCTTGTGACACCACATTAAGTTCATGAAGTTCTGTTAGCTGTTGGTTATTAGTTTATGAATATAACATCAGATAAATAGATGTTTCAGAATATTTATAAAAGGAATATATAAAGAAAGTTAAGATAGGTTATTTTAATGTATGTTATGTTTATATTGAGTCTAATAAATGTAAAGAACACACACATATTTGCAACTCTCATGATTTTTCCATATGAATGTGTGAGACAGGGGCTCAAGTAGTCTTACACAGTCAATGTAATGTTCCAGTAGCATAAAATTTGTGTGTATTATTTTAAGTTACTGAATAAAATGAATGCATGATGGAAATGGAATGCCACTCTGTATATACAAATTACATTTGTGTATGTTATCCCTTGCTTCCTTGATAGTCTCCATCAATCTGCAAGCATATTTGGTCTCCATCTACCTTCATGCAATGAAACATCTAAATGCTAATAAAAGAAATGTACGAGGTGCGATCGGAAAGTTTCAAGACTGTGTCAATAGAGGGCGAACCGGATGTAGTACGAGCTTCTGCCGCAAGGGGGTGCGGCCTACATTCATAGTGAATCAGTGTGCCAGACGGCATCATCGAATTAGCATTTGTTTCTTAGTTACGGGCGTTTTGGTAGTGCATTACACCGACTCTCCTGCGATTTCGGAATGGCGTGTGCATCAATTTTTGCCAAAGACTCGCCAAAACGGCTACGGAAACCTATGAAATGCTAAAGCAAGCATTTGGGGAGTCCGCAATGGGTCGTGCACAAACTTTTGTGTGGCATTCACGTTTTAAAAATGGCCGAACCGCTGTCGATGATGACGAGCGTTCTGGACGACCATCTCCGAGCACAACGCCCGAAAATGTTACCAAGATTCGGCAGGCCATTCACGAAGATCGACGTCGTACCATAACGACTTGTGCGACATTGTTGGGATAGGCTATGCGACCTGTCAGCTGATTCTAAAGGAAGAACTCCACATGCGAAACCAAGGCTCCCTTCTTCCTCTTCCCAAAAATGAAAATTCAGCTAAAGGGAAGGAGATTTGAGGCGATAGAAGAGATTCAGGCAGAATCGCAGATGGTGCTTGACAGGCTGACAAAGAACGATTTCCAGGGATGCTTCCAGGCTTGGCAGCGGCGCTGGGATCGTTGTGTTCACTCCCAGGGGAACTACTTCGAGGGTGATGGATGAATTTAATACCTGAGATAAGTGTACGGGTTTTTATACGGGCAGTCTGGAAACCTTTCGATCGCACCTCGTATTTTAGCTTCTGTTGTCTGTGTGTCCTTGCTTACATGTGATCTAGTTCACCATGATTCACACTACCATGCTTCAGATGTCCTGACTAGATGTTTACACACTTTCCTCATTTCAAGTAATTCCGTGTAGGTAAATTCAGGTCACAAAAATGAGGTAATGTGACAGCAGGTCAAGCAAGAAGATGCAACCACCACCAAAATATCATGCATTTTTGTAACACTACTGGACCACCAGTTTGTAATGTTGATTTTACAAGTCATTCATTTCCAGAATCTGTTATACAACCTATTCATTGTGTAATTATGATTAGGTGAGAAAATTTTTTAAGATGTCACAATGTATAAGAAAGACGTTGCAGCATAGTTTCTCATTGACTGGTGTGCCTTTCCATGGAATTTCACGAGGGTTTCTTCTCAACAATGAATTCAGTTACAGAACTTAACCCAGAATCAATTCAACTAAATACCATATAGTATAGTTTCAGTACAGATAAATAATAAATTATAGTGTACCAACATACACAAATCTATGAGGAGAACGTCTTTTCTTTCAGAAACGTACACGACAAGAAATTCTAGTGAAACAAGGGAAGTGAGAAATTTTGATCAGTTCTTCGTTAAATTCTTGAAGTGCTTGGAAAATGCAATGAATGGAAACACGAAAATGTAACCAAAATACAATAATTAAAATATCAAAATATACATGATATTTATACGTTATAAAACTTCCAACGGCTTACCCAATTATTATGTAAGTTGTACCTATCACATTTTGTGATTAGACGCATGTTAAAAACATTGCGAATTTCAGTATAACAATCGTGTCATGTCCCTCAGGGTTCCTGAAGGAACTGGAGAATAATTTCAGAAGGAACAACAGATTAATACAACTATCCTGATTTAGAAGAAGATAAAAGTACAAGTTATAACGGGCGAAAGAATACGACAGACCCACATTAACACGCCATTTATTTTCTGCCTTAAGTACAAGCACATACTCTAATGCGAATAAACACTCATAAAGACGAACACAAAGCATGCGTCAGACACAAGAACTGAAGTCGACAGTGGCTGTGTTGGGCATCCAGGCTAAACAGACTCCATGCACACACACTTGATAGACAAAGAGATTACCCGAGGACATATTGTGTAATTGTGCCTGTTAGAATGTAGCTTTCACGCCGAATCAGAAGTCTGCAGATCTGACGACCTTCATGACTGCGAGACGAATAGACAAAACCCACCTGCTAGAAAAGGACTCTCAATGCTAACACATTATTCTCATTCTTCTAAAACGTTAGGAAATAAAGTGGCTGGTTCTATGTGTTATCATGTTTTATATCAGTATATTTATCATTCATTGTCATGAAATATGACGCTGTGTAACGTCTAAAGTCTCTAAGAAGTTGATAATCGATCAGGCAGTCGAGAAATTCCCTCTCGATTATATACCTTAAAAATTTATCGATCTATTCACAAATCCTATCACTGGTCCATATATTGTTCCAAATTAATTTAATCCACATCCTCACACCCTGTGTTCAGGATATGTTTTTATATTATTCTCCATCTACTGAAATTCCGAAGTGGCTACTTCGCTTCACGTCTTCAAATAGATTCAGACCCCTTAATAATAGTCGTTTAAAAGCAGGATTACAAATTATGAAGTGTCTTAAGTCATTTTATCTAACCTTCTGTCATTTCCTCTATCTTAGATCCGAATATAATCAACAATTTGTTCTCAGA